TTTTTATTTATTTCATTAAATATATGCAAAATTAACGGACTTTATTAAAGTAATTATTTCTTCGATTTCAATATTTAATATAGAATTGAATATTTGTATAATATAACATTGTATACTATTGTTATAGAACATAATAAATATTGAATTTTTTTTTTTTTAAAAAAAAAAATAAATATTCAAATATAAAGAAAGGTAAAGATTGTTATATTACTAAGCTTTACGAGTTTAATCTTCGACTTTTTGAAATAAACAGAAAAGTATACATTATGAATCCCAGCGTCTTTTACGTTGTTGAGGTACACTAGGTGAAGTTGTTGAATTCGTTGATGAGGAACTTGTGTTGCTAGAACGTAATAACCCTAACTCGGATTCAGATGAAGAAGCTTTTTGAAAATTCACTTGAAGTTTCGATTGGAAACCAGCTGCATTATTACGGCCAGATCTATTACTAGTGGTGCTAAGTTGTGGTGGTGGAGGTATCTGTGAACCTACTGATCCAATTCCGGCTCTTCCACTTCCTAGTGGAATGGCATTCGAACTGGAACCTGCTGATCCTCGACCTAAATAAATATCATTTTTAACAAATTTATTCGAAAATATTATAAATCAAACAATGCTAATAACTTCCACGACCACGACCTCGACCTCTACCACGACCACTTCTGCCACGTCCTCCTCGAATCAATTGCCTCGACTTTCTGAACCGTGCGTTCTATTATCAAATGAAATTAGTTTTAAATTTAATTTCTTAATATTTTAATACAAACTAGTCAATATTAACCTGCATCGCCAGATCCATTAATGAACTTGGAACAATTTGCCCAGAGGATTCTAAATTTCTTACTAAATCTCCTGCAAACTTATCCTCCTTCTTGGTAATGAGTGTGTATGCTGTACCCTTCTCACCTGAGTTATTATTAAAGTTAATATCATATTAATCTTATTTACATTCGAAATTTAGCAACATACCAGCTCTACCGGTTCTACCAATACGATGTACATGCGAATCAATATCCCTTGCAATGTCGTAATTTACTACAGTCTTAACGGCCTTTATGTCAAGACCCCTCGCTATAATAAAAAAAATATATATAAATACAAGAATATAGAATAAGAAAAACCTTAAAACAATACATATTTGAACTATGTAATCACATACAAGCTACATCGGTAGCAACCATGATAGGAAATTTGTTATTCTTGAAGTCTCTCAACATTTTATCACGGTCAGCCTGCATCATATCACCATGCAATGCGCCACCTATTAGAGATTATTAATTAGTTAAAAGTTTTAATGTAAGATTGTTAAAAAAAAAAAATTATTAAGCACTTACAATCGAATCCTGACTGTTGCAGATTTAAGGATAATTCATCAACACCGCCTTTCCTACTAACAAAAAT